CTGAGATAGGCTATTTGCAGTTCCCACCAGTGAATCTTGACTAATCTTGCTAATGAATAAATATGCTTGGATGCTTGCTTTGATAGCAAGTGTGGTGGGAAGGAATATAGCACTAGAAGTGCCACCAAGTATATATGGATGGTGTTAGCAATCCCTTTGAAGGTCAGGAATTTACAGCTTTTAATATCTTACAGTAAAAGTGATAAATGAAGTCAGTGCTGCTCCTGGTATGCTCATGGGCTTTTGGAGCTCAGGTATGCTTTAAGGGAAAAGTGAGTCTGAAAGCTGGTTGTAATCCCCTTTAGATAGATTTAAGGGGATCTACAGAGCACAGTATTTCTCCCATCGAGAAGCAGACTCTGAAGACAGCTTAATCGTGATTTCAATTAGTTACTGGGGGAAAGGGGGACGCTGGAGTTCTGCATCTAGAAAACAAGACAGAAACCAAAGGTCTCTCTAGTAGTTCTTACTAGTGTATTATAACATACAAATGTACTGCGCTAAGGATGGAATTAAGGCTGCAGGAAACCTTTAGCTGTAGGTGTATATATACAGTGACCTAAAGCCAGAAAAATAGCAGCATGAGCTAGCAACAACACTGTAGCTTTCAGTGCCAGAACGCTGCAGATGTTTGAAACAAAACTATCCCAAGCTAATAAAAGAACAGTGCTACTATCCCAGTTACCACCATGCACCATTAACTAGCTGTTTGTGCTTAATACCTGACTTTATATAAGGTGCTGGCTCCAGACTCCTTGAGTGGGAAGAAGAGGAAATGCCTGCAGAAGGAATGACTTCTACACTTCATCTCATTGAGAAGTTGAGTTGAAGTGCTATGAGAAAGTGACCTTGAATTTTATCTAGTTGTAATTTTCCTAGAAGGTGAATGTCCATGGAATAACCTTTGCAAAGATATGTAGGTTTGTTTTCTCCTACAAATCTTAGCGTTAACTGTGGTATGGTGCAAAGATATGAGGAGCTTTCCAAACAGAAGCTAGAAGGGGCTTCTTGATACAACCTGGTTATCATCTTGACAATATCAATGTGAGATGACAGTTGTTTCTGTGCCTACAGAAAGGGAATTTAGTGGGCAGTACCTCCAGAGGAAGTTATGCTCTTTTCTGTCCCAGAGTTCAAACAGATGCAGATCCTTTGACTTTTTAATCAAAAAATTTTAAAATTTAGAATTTTAAAGGTAAAAACCTATGGATTTGGCCAAGAAAGATCTTTAAGAAGAATCTGTAAGTTCCTGTGTTGCACTCAAATTTGGACTGGAAATTGTTTAATAAGGGTAAATCAGTCTCATGCATCCTGGAGGTCCTAGTTCTCCATCTCTAACACTTTCTACCTTGCCATATCAAAGTGAAATCACTTGAGACGAGAAGAGCCTAACCCAGCTAGAAATAACTTTCTAGTGTAAACAGACTGAGCGTTCATGTATAACATCCTCTGTCAAGGACAGTTCCTGCAACTTTCTGTTCTGTTTATATCTACTACTGTTAACGTCTCAGTTGTCTTAAAGAGCTCTTCTAGTTAGTTGGTGATAATAAATACAAATGACCCCTTAGACTGGAAGGATGAGTCTGATAATATTCATCGTGTGTAAAGTTAGGAGCAAGACTTCTACAAGAAAACATGATCTCCCAGTTGCTAAATTTCTCCTTTTGTAAAAAGGTTCATGTGAATTTATTCTAGAAGGAGCTGTCATGACTAAGAGGAGCTGATTTGCTAGAGCAGGGGATAGAGAAACAAAGCTGTCATACCCAAAGTAATCAGCATGTTCTTCCTGGCCAGCTCTGCACCTTGAAACTCTCTACTTATGCTCCTGACTGGCATCTGCTGTAGAAGTTCATATATTCTAGAAGCATCAGCTGTGTGGGAGTTGCCAGTGTCTGAAGTTATCCACTCATGGAGTGCATGCAGGTTTGCAAGGCTCTTCTCAGTGCCTGCTGAGAAATAAGACTGACGGAGACTTAGGTCTGATCTTTGTATAGTTTAACATCAGGATTTTAACCTCTACTTCCACCTTTCTGGAAAAATTGCCTCACAACTTCAAGCAAGCAGTAGCAGTGTTATTAAGCAGTAATTCGGGTGGTAAAAACAAGTGTCCAACAACAGTAAATAAGAATTAAGACGTACTATGCAGCTTTTCACACAAGGATGGCAATAAATGCCTACCTCGCAACTCCTCTGAACTGCTCCTGTGCATGCTTTGTTCAGAAAAAGCACCTTCCCGAACAGTGGACTTCCTGGTCCAGCTGTACTCCTCAGGATGCCAAAAGGAATGGGAAAGGCAATAGCCCAGTGTGTAACCCGATAAGAGAAAGCTTTGTCTCAAGACAGGAGTCTGCACCCTTATAGAGCCCTGTTTTTTCCCCCAAATAGGAACTTTCAGACCTGCCTGTATTTTCCAGGTCAAACTGAGACCATTGCAGTCTGTGGCTGTTAAAGGGGGAGGGAGAAATATATTCTCTTACGGTCCAGATAGATCTAGGTCCTTTGTTACCTGGACCTAACATCTAGCTCTTCCTTTCAAACTTTCTCAAGACTGCTTGCAAAGGTCTGTACCTTGCTAGCTATTATGCTGAGGTCTAAAAACAGCTTGCCAAAAGATCTGGGTGATACAGAGGACTGTGATGTCCAAGGTTTCATACCTTAGATAGCTGATGGTGTCTACTCACTTGGTCTGGCAGAGGAGTAGCATTTGCGATGCTAGTTTCCAGTATTAAAAGTATTCATAGAAGGTTATGTGCTGCACCAAACTGCTGTAGAGAAACAGTGCTAGTAGGTTGTCATTGCTGCTAGCAATTGTGCAAGCTGCAGAAGAGGGCTTAATGTGGACATGCGGTGCCTACATGAGAAGCAAGGTAAACCATTTTTTTTATGCTGATGCTGTACTGTTGTGGCTAGATCAAACAGTGCTGCAGTTCAGACATGCCCTGAGGAAAATGAACTATATGAAAGTCACTCTTAATCACTCTCAGCTGATCACCATCTGAGTAAGCATTGCAGAACCAAGATGATCATGACAAAAATCATACTCCTCTCCAGCTGCAGTGGGCACACAGCTCTGCTGAGGGTGTGTGGTGTGGTTAGTTTTGTTTTGTTTTCTTGGGCAAAATTGGGTCCACAGGACTTGGTTGTATCGGGTATGCTACATGCTATTTGTTGCTGTAGTTTACAGGGCTAGAAATGTAGCCAGAGCATGTGCGAGTTAGCTCTGTGATGGTGGACCCTAATGACACTCATTCTGAACTTCTCTTTAGTGGTATGTTGTTGCTGAAATGGCTATGTGGCAGTGTGCATGGATCTGCCATTCCATGTCACGTTAGGGAATAAACTTAGTCTCTAGCTTGAGTTCTGTTGGTAAAGGTACTGCATTGTAATTGCCTTGACTCTTTCATGTTGAAGTGCTAGTGAGAATTCAAGTGCAGTGGGTAACACTCACTAACCTAGCAGTTCTGGGTCAAGGCTGGTTAAGATTGACTTCTCCTGAGGGGTTTGTATAAAGATGCTGCTGTTGCAGCTGAGAGACTGCAACAAGGATGGTAAGGAAGAGCCTTTCCTGGAAAGGTATGTGGCCCTCAGCAGACTGCACTTAGGGCAGCCAGAAGATACTCAGTTGTTCCATTGCCAGACCGTGGCTACATGTCAGCTGAAATGCAGATGTTGTTGTTGGGCACTTGCAGCTGACCTTAGAACCACCAGGGACTGTATCTGTTGTACCTGAAATTGAGCCCTAACCCAGTTCCTACAGCACAGACTGGTAAGGTATGTTCCTGGGTAGCACTAGCTCTGGTCTCTACTAAAGTCTTCCATGAGTTTCTAAAGAGCTGGGGGAGTAGGAAAGAAAAGGGAATGAATGATGTGACTTTTTGTTCTGTCCCAGTTCAAGTGGAGGAATGTAAAGCTACCAACTTTGTAAACAGTAACTTTGAAATTTAAGACAAGGCTTGCATGACTCCGTAGATAGTTTTGTGAATTTGGAACTGGAAGTAGCAAAAGACATTCCCTATACCTTTTTTTGTCATGCCAAAACTGCACAAGGCTAAGGAAGTCTTAGAGCTCCTCCTCTCCCCATTTTCCTGCCTGCTGCCTCTGTTCCAATTTCAGCTGCAGTCCTAACACACTACCTTGCTCTTGTGGTTTGAAAGTCACTAAGAGGGGCAGAAGCTTAAAATGATGATCTTCCCCTTGTGTTTTGTGAGTCTTCAATAAATCTAGCTCTATCTGCTTCTTATGAAAAATGGATAGAAAGCAACATCTGTTGGTTTTTATCAGCTCAATGAACAACCAATTAATTACCATGTAGTCAACCCTTCTAAACAGACTAGTGTTACCGACAGGGCTTATAGTAATGCATTAGCATTGCAATTACCTTTGCAATTAGATTACCGATCCTGGAGCTGTTAGTATATAACAAGGATGTTTGCAAATGAAGTTTTAAAAAGGCCCAGACTTCTGACTCTGAAATATACTGTTTCTGTAGGATTCCTTCAGGAAAACTGAAAATAGCTGAATTGCCACCTTCTCATAGATTTGAGAGCTCACCCATGATTTAGCATTTGTATTAAATAGTCTTAAATCTCTCTATACTAAACTATGTAACTTCCATACAGTTTGTGTCTGTCTTACTGCATCTTCTGTCTCCTAGTAAAAATTGTGACCTCTTAGTAGGCTGACCATGTGCTATGTCTTGACAAGCATGTCAAGCTGAATTAAGTTTAGCTTTCACTTGCTGTAGTTTGCTGTAGAAACCTGTATCTTCAAAGGCAGTTTGTTGAAGAAATAGCTTGCAATGAGTAAGAACTGTAGGAGTATAAGAAGCTCAAAGCACTAAATGCTAGAGGGTCATGTGCTATTATGAAGGATACCAACCATGAATATAATGTTGCTGAATATGGTAACACTGCACAACTTCGTTAAGTGTCTATTTTTTTTCTACTGCAGGAATTTGAAGATGCAGCAAGCCTGAATGAGGACAGAATCATCTCCTTAAAGAAGTTGGACAATCTGAGATATTGACCATGTCTATTATGGATCATAGCCCCACCACTGGAGTGGTGACTGTTATTGTTATTTTGATTGCTATTGCGGCTCTTGGTGCCTTGATACTGGGCTGCTGGTGTTACCTGCGTCTGCAGAGGATCAGCCAGTCTGAAGATGAGGAAAGCATTGTGGGCGAAGGGGAAACCAAAGAGCCCTTTCTTCTGGTGCAGTACTCAGCTAAAGGACCTTGTGTAGAGAGGAAAGCTAAGCTAACTCCAAATGGCACAGAAGTGCATAGTTAACTTGGTGCAACACATGTATATGGACTATGTTTACATGTAACCAGCAGGAGGATCTCTATACTGTGAAGAACCTGGTCACATGCACACTACTCATCAGAAAACACCCTGATGAGGATTAAATAAGCTTTGTTTGTGGCTGCATGCACTGAGAAGTTCCACTTTGCATTGACTGTGTATCCTAATTTCTCTATGACAGGAGCTGACTCTCACCTGGCATAATGTCCATTGCTGGCAATGGACACAGGCATATATTGGTGTGAAGAGACTACTAGTGTTTTTTGTTACTTGAATGTTTAGCTGAGCCTATTTTGATGGAGCTACTACTGTAATGTGAACTACTTTACAACTGTGAACTGTAAATAGGCTGCCAGAAGCTTTTTGCTTTGTGTTCCACAGCATATGGGAATAGTACCATGCAACTGTATAGTGTAACACACAAGGGGACTCCTGAACCACAACTGTAGATGGAATTCCAGACCTTCAAAACCAAACCTGCAGTTAAAGCTTGCTTCTGCTACCAACTTGAGTGCACAGCCATAAAGTCAGAACTCCTACTCCTTACAATTTAGTGGACTGATGCAGAATACTTTCTTTGCAAAGGTGTAAGCCTTCAGTAACATGTTAAGGGAGGAAACACAGGAGATACAAGAAAGGAAGTGATTTCCTTTAGTTGCAGTGAGGTAGGTTAAGCTTTTGGCTGCTAGAACTGAGTTCTCTAACTATGTAGCTGCTGCAAGGAAACTGCCACTTTGATGGATTCCAACCTGGGAACTAATGATGGATACTGAACCCTAAGGGATGGTCCAGAAGGTTTCCAGGAGTTTGAAATGGCAGTAGAGCAGGCTTTGCTCTTCTGTAGGTCTGCATGCTGAAACTCCAGAAGTGGTTACTTATTAAAACTGGCCTAAGTGCAACTAGTATAACTTTCTCCTAGAACCCCTGTTTGTGTACTTAGTAGTTAGGGTATATTAACAGCCTGTTGTAAAAAGGCATTTTAGTCTACAGACAAACAGTCAACTATAGAATTCAGTTAATGTATCTTGTAGATAATTCCCTTAACTGTACTGCTACAAGATTAAGCTTCAGTCTTTCCTACAAAAACAAATTGTGATGGGGTAAGGGGGATTGCTGGTCAGTTTGTAGAGTTTTCAGCTAACAATGGTGAAGTCCTTCCAAACAAGGATATCCCTTCCATTTCCTGCTCTAGCTGAACTACAGCACATAGGAACTATAAAAAAAGATGTTAAAGGGGGAGTTCTGGACCTCAAAGGTTTGAGGGGGAGGAGAGGGGCAACACAGAGCCACCAATGGCAGCTTACATATTCTAAAACTCTTAGGGTAGGCACATATAGTTTGAGGCCACTGACTTGTTTTCTATGACTTCATACATGGCTTCCTTTGCCTACTGAAATTTTTAAATACTTCATTCCTTAGGAGAAAAAAGCTACTGTAAATCTGTTCCCTGAGATAAGCTACAAAGGATGAAGTCCAAGTTCTTCAGCTCTATAGGAAGCATTAGGCTTGCTTCTCATACCTGTACATATGGAACAACTAAGATGGGCCCAGCAGACTTGCTTGAGAATTGTAACTGTATGCAAGACAATAATGGCCTAGACAAAAAGTCTTGTCCCTTTCTTCTACAGTAAGATGTTGACTTGCATTTTTAGTGCTACATTTGCCTTTTTTTTTTTAATTGAAGGCTATAATTTGAAGCAAAATTAATGCTGTCAGTAGCAAAAAGCTCCTACTGTTGCCTCTTGAGTACAATATGGGATACAGCTGATAGAGGGCTGTTCTTACCCTGGCACTTTTTTTTTTTTTGAAGATACTGGTCTCATGAGACTTGCATGTGTAACCAGACCCATACACTCAAACTGCTGTATTCTAGAACTCTTAAATCAAGGAGAAAAGGATTAATTCAATAAGACTTTCTTTAGTTTTCAGTAGAGAACAGTTCACACATGGCTCTTGCAAGTTTCAAGACAGTCAGCTAACTGGTATACAAAAGTGATAAAAAGTGCTCAAGTTCTAGAACAGGATAGTTGTAGCAAGATGACTTTGTCCATTCAAGTTTACACAGATGAACTACCTTGATTTTAATTCAGCAAAGAGAATGCAGTGTAAAGGGCAAACTTCAGAAATTACAGAGAAGTATAAATCAAAGGTCTAATTTCTCTTCTAGCAGCTGTAAGAGAAAGCCAGTGGAAAAAAAAACTGGTCCTCAGTCACAGGTGCTTTACACTGCTGCCCCTAAAAATCAGCATCTTTAATTTAAATGGATAGGTGTTTGCAAGTTAGTGCAAGAGTAAAGTGCAGAAAGTGTTTTCCATTCTCCTCTTTAGATGTGGGTATCTAACAAGTTGTTCAAGTATACAAAAATATTCAATTTGATTTTTCTTTTTCTAGATCATGTGGGGGAAGAAGTCTTTATTTACAAAGAATTTCAATAAAATTTGCATAAATACCTATCCAATACTGCATCATTTGACTTTGTGCAAGCAATCATTCTGTCCTGTTTCCACTACTGTGCTCTGTCCCTATGGTATCAATATTATCAATCCTTTTTTCCTCTAATGTGGCAGTAGCTGTTGAAACCAATATATCACTATCTTCAGAAAGTGCTTGCTCTGACTGAAGGGATTCTTTAATTCCATCTTTGCTCTGTGGCTTTGCTTCCCTTGATGCCACGAGGATTCTCAGTAAAGTATTCTCTTTAAGGAGGTTTTCTGATGCATCAGCTAATTCTTGAAGCTTTTCAGCCATTTCTAATAATTCTTGATTCTTCTGATCATATGTGGCCTTTAGCTGCTCACTGTGGCGCTGGAGAGTTTTGTGCTGCTTTTCCAGTGTGTGTTTTTGTTGCTGTAGTCTATGTTCCTCTCTCCTAGCTTCAGAAAGCTGTGCTTCAAGCTGGTTGTGGGCCTGATGAAGGGCACCAATTTCTGATCTTAACTTCTGAATTTCTCTCTCTAAGTGGGAGATGTGTCCTTGCTGTAGAACTGCCTCTTTATGTAGACATTCTTTGGTACAGGGCTCTGATGAAGACAGACTTGAGTGATGTAAAATAAATTTAAGGAGATTAGGAAGGTTAACTGAAAAGTCTTCAGGGAACTTCACACTTTGTTCTTTCCTAGAAAGACATAACAAGTTAATATTAAAACATTCAAATAGGTAAACAATGATAACTTTATCATTGACTTGTTCAACTTGAGATCTTGTTTTTTTAATCAACAATGGTTAATATAGCAGCTAAGAGAAACCTGAACTCATGTAATTAAGATACAGCACACAGTATTTTCTTTTGATGAACCGTTTTACCTGTGGAATAGTCTAGGTGCTGTAAGCATCTCTGCACTGGATTGGTATTTGCCTGAGAGCAAAATTTTCTGTCAAATTTCAGGAAACAAATTTTACTCTTTTAAAAAGAGAAAGTATTCCAAGTATGGGTTATGAGCTTGAAGATACATATGGTAGCATCACTGTTAGGCAGGTGTGATCAGAGCATACCGATATTAACACTTGTTAGCAAGATGAAGGACAGCATTTAAGTGTTCCCAATTCTACATATGTTGTTAGAAGTTAAGTCCATATGTATAAAGCTATCTGATGGGAAATGACTATTTTGAGCCTATATATGTTATCCTGGAAGAAGTAGCTTCATGTGTTCCAACATCAGAAGGGTATTGCAAGGAACAGAAAAGTAGTTTGCTTTTAAACTGTAAGCAGCCACTTTAGTGAGAGGGAAGGCCCTTTTGCTGTCAAAAACCCAAATCTTTCTACTTGTTCCTCTTACTTCTTTGTCTTTATGCCACTGAGGTGATCAAGATGCAAACCAAACAAGGTGTGTTGGTTTTTTTTGTTTTTGTTTTGTTTGGGTTTTTTGGGGTTTTTTTTTGTGGTTTTTTTGTTGTTGTTTTTTTTTTTTTTCCTGAAGCTGTGAATAGTAAGCCCAGCATATGAAGAGGTAGGCCCACTGCTTTCTGCAACAACATAAACTGTTACTCTCAACCTGACAAAAAGTCCAAGCTGCTTGAAGACCAGCAAGTACCAAATTTCTTCCTCGAGACTACTAACCACCAAGACACCCACAATCTCCAGCTGTGTCAAATGATAAAATTATTGCCCTTTTTGGACCATGTGCATACTTCTGTCACAAAACATAGGAGGCTAAACTGTCCTCTGAGGTCTAGACAGGAACTAACTCTTAACCTGCTCTTTCTGAACCAGTTACATCTTCAACCTTTCACTCAGCATGTTCCAGTATAACATGAGTTTGCCTCCTCCTGTTGTAGCAGAGCTACGCATACTTCAGTATGTTTAACTGGGAAGCTAGCTAATAGTTTATTCATTTTGTATAGTCTTTAGCCTTTGTCAGTCAGAAGCATTTTTTTTTTTCATTAGAGAGCCATCAAAACAGAAGAAAAGCCTAGTTTACTTCCCCCTTTGATTGCCAAATTCATAACCAGATTAATAGTATGTAGCATACATTCAGACATGGGTTCATTACACAAGTCAGAAAAAGGACATAGGATAAACCCAAAGAACAATTATTCCAAAGCAAGAAAGCCAGATTGAAGTGCAATGCCCAATGCCTCAAAGTTTAGCACTGCTGCTCCTGTACAACATACACCATGGACAACTCCTCTGTCCCCACATGTGTGACACTATGTTTCTGAATTGCTTACACCATGCATCTGGAATAGGGGAGTTATTCAGTTACCAATTACAGTTGCCTCAAAAATGCTTTCTGTGAAATCCAACTCATTAGCATATGGCATATAAACATATGTGAATTTCATTTACTGAGAACTACTTATTTGTAGAAGACAGATACTGTATTTTATCGATAATTCAAGAACTTCAGCCAGATGAGGCTCCTGTTCAGCACAATTAAGCTATTTCTGGAAGCATAAGCAACATGATTTTTCTTCCCCTGCAGACTTCTGGTGATCAACCAAGTTACTCTTGTAATCACCATCAGCAGCTTCTCAGCTGACACTCAGCTCACATCCAAGTTTAATGAATCATGACATGATTTCGGCAAAAAATAAGTCTACACTAAGACAAAACTGACTCATTATACAGTGGTAATATTTTCCTACGTCATCATCCATTCTTACTGATCAAAACCACAGTATGTATCAGAAAAGCTAAAACACTATTTAAAACAAAACCCAAAATATTAACAGCATGTGGTGGAAAGAAATTGAGAACAGAGTTAATTTGCAAAGATTGTCTCATAAGGGAAGTGCATAAGGAGCTGCAGAGAAAGCCTTAATATGAGGCACATTTATATCCAAAATATACAATTACTCTAGTAGTGCTACTGATACTACAAATACTATCACAACCTAATGTTCTTGATTACCCAGATGCAGCAAAATATAAAACACGCTGGAGAGGAAAAGCAGGCGAGAAAACCATGACGAGAGGTAAGGTACCTTTATGAAACCAATTAGAATATTACAAAAACAGTCTTACTAAAACTATTAAGTCTGTCACTCCCGAGACAGTCCAGAGCTGCTTTATAAAACAGACGAAGGCAAAATGAGTATCTATGAAAAAAAATGGGGAACACTGGACTTTGTAGTAACACAGGGAAAATGGTTAAGTATTAGAGGAAGCTTCAGTTCCCATAAATTGTTCTACTGCTCTAAAACCTGCTTGAGCTATGCTTTAAAATAATTCAAGAAAAGCCTTTTCATCATGTTACACATGACACTCACTCTGTCCCCTAGAAGGCACGGCTCTGCAAACTAGATCCTTGCTCAAAAGTGAAAGGGAAAGTCACTCGACTCAAAGTTTCCAAACACTGTCAGGCTCATTAACTAGCACAGTGGTCTTAAAACTGTAGCCACAACAATATTTGGAAATCAGTTTCTAACTTTTTCCAGCCCTAAAATTAATCACATTAGTATTCCAGTCATTGTTAATATGGTTAGATCTAGTACATCTTCAGCTTATGCCACTTGACCTAACAGAGCAGAAGACAACAGCATACTACTACTACTCCTTGTCTCAATTGTCAACAGCACCTCATGAAACACGTGTGGCTCATCTCAACTAAAATTGAGACCACTCATCTTTAAACCAGCAGGTCCTCTGCTTGTAGCCACTCAAGCCAGCCAGAACTAATGGGCTGTGCAAATGAGAGATAAAAGAGTCTGAATGCTGGAAAATGTGCAAAACTGAGACCCAGTGGATCTGCAGGACTTGACAAGTAACTGGACTGGGGTATCAGCACTGAAGACTGCAGCTTTTGCTAAGCAGCAGATGAAGGTAATTCTGCCTTTATGTAGACAGGTACACACCTTGGAACTACTCCAGCTGAGTGCCTGCTTGATTAACCTAGGGAACAGAGAAGGAACGGAACTGGGCTGGAGGAATGTGGCAGAGGGAACCTGACCTGGGGCTGATTTGCAAGGCTTACTGCACAAAGTAGGGGAGATGATGATTTGGAAGTTGGGATGACTCAGAACTGATATAAATGAAACTATTTCTGTACTGAATTAAAACATGAATTTAGAATTGCAATACTTAAGGTTTAAAGATTTTGTGGTAGGTAACACAGCACAGTACCAATAGTCTGAATTACTATCTTCTGATGATAAGAGTTCTTGAGGGAGAATGGTGGAAATCAACATTTTTACTTTACATTGCAAAGAGGCAGGCATTTATTATAATGCTTGTTTTCATTTCCTTTCTATAAAAAACTGTAATTGTGTAAGATTGAGTATTCAACTTTTAAAAAAAGAACAAAACCCAAGGTCAATCAAGTCTAATGCATAGGGCATACATGTAACACCAAAACCACATCTGAAACACTATCAAGCACTTTCGAAAGCTTGTGGCTCTCCTGCATCTAATGTTTCTTTCTTGTTCCTCAGCCCCCTTGAAACTACCCTTCCCTGTTCTACACTCTTATTTCTTGGCTCTTTCTCTGAGGTCTTACTTGCTGTATATAGTTTCACTTCAACAGCATGTACACCCTGTTTTACTGCTCATCGCCTTTGGATATTTTCCTCTGTAGGTGTTAAACTGATACTGAAGCTTCATTTGTTTTCTGTTTTAAAGAAACAATGCAAGGCTTCTAGAATGCCAACAAATCTGCTGCTACTTTTCTCCTGTGAAAAGTCCAGCACTTGTTACTGAGAATGGAAACGAAAATATTTTGGTAATATACAAAAATTCCCCTGATGTAATTCTATAGTATCTGTAAAACCAATGCTGTGTCATTTTTTTTTTTTTTTCCTGATTACTGCTAAAAAAACTTAGTCAATAGCATTAAGGACACTAATGACAATTGAAGTATCTGCGCTATTTCAACAAAAAAAAATCTTTTAGAACTTTGAAAAAAAATGTATTTATGCCCAAGTGAAATAGTGAAGTAGTAAATGTTGCTTTAAGAAAGAAAAAAGATACTTCAATAACCACAGTGTTAGTTTACACAGGAAGTTCTTACATGAAAAAACTTTACTTTCAAGCATGGTTTTCATTTGAAGACTGTATCACATAATTTGAAATATTCATAGTTTAAAAAATTTTTTTTAAAAATCTTATGTTTAAGAAACACTGCAGCAGAACAGCTCAATAAAACCCCCGAAGTATTTGCAATAGGTTTTTCAGTTTTTCTAGCCATGCAACATGACAATCTTCCAGTAACTTTTATATGATTTCCAAACAGCTTTGAGAAAGTTTTCATTTTCAGTACATTTTCTTACTGTGTCATACTTCTGCTTCTTCAACTACCTTTTTTCACTCCATCCCATATTCTCTTTCTGCTTGATCATAACATTCATAACGGTTGTTTGGAGTTTTTTTGCTTCATATTCTTTTATGGCAACACAATGATGTCACCAAACAAGACTAATGATATCACAAAAGCAGGAAAAAGAAAATAATTCTATATTTGGATTTTATCAGGAATGAAAACACCTCTTATTTAATGTAATTTTATAGATTGAAATTTCTTTTAACATGAAACTTCTTTCAATACAAAAGGGAACATAGCTGACATATAAATGAAATATAAAACAGAGGAAAATTTAACACTTATTTTTATTAAATCAGGACACGATACAAACTATCTCTATATGCCATTCTTATACTATGTAAAATCAGAGTTTCGTTTAGATGTTAGCATCTCCTTTAGAGAGCTTATAAAGGCTAGAAGTATTTCACGTCATTCTCTCTGCTGCTGTTAAGACTAGTTCTTAGCTGATGGAACACTTCCATGGTTTATGCAGATCGCCAAAGAATCTGATATCCAAAATACAGGTACAGCTAGACACACATACATTCCCCCCCCAAGCCAAACATCAGAACAATGAGAGAAACGCAACCTGAAAGAACTTCAGTTTGAGCAATGAACACTCCAAAGTCCCTCTGATCATGTTACATTCATTCTACCACAGGGGAGTGAGGGAGAAATGAAGTTTCATAGATTAGGACCCACTGTAATATCTCCAAAGGATGCATAAGCCTTCCTTTAGTATCCAGATTCTCTACTTTGTTTCTTTTTAAGACAAATTTTCTACTTTAAAAACACATAAAAATCTATCTCCTCACCCTCTGTAACGTTAGGATTATTAGAATCTGTTCTCTTAAACAAGACTAAGCTTGGGCTGGATTACTTACTCTCCATCTGTGCTTATTTTTTGTTTTTCTTCATTAAAAACATAGCAAGCAAATCTTGCATTTTACTGCAAGAACTCATTATAATATTCTTTCAGATCTCGCTTTGTTTATCCAATTAGAAGCAATTAGATACAAGTTGCACTAGATCGACGTTGCACCACCATCTACATAATTTCTCCCCCTCTTCCCCTTCCTGTAGTCACTCACTAATTTATTTGGACCATGCCAAAATAATAATTTTAAATACAACCAAATAATAAGGAAAATTAACTGAAGAATAAGGGTAGTAATGCTGCTGTTCATAAATAAAGACTTACAAACAATTAGATAATGACCTTAGGAGAGAACATTCTCTATCTGCATACCATTAGCTATCCATGTCTGTTGAGAGGTTTTTTGTTGTTTTGTTGTTTGGGTTTTTTAAATTAGAATACGCATAAAGTAAGAATGCATATATGGAAATGAATTACTGTTTGGCTTTTTTCTCTACCAAGACATGTAGCCAGATAATTACTTTAACTTAGTAAAATGAAAGTTAAAAACCCACAGGGAAAAGAACTACATTACCTCTGATGAGGAAAAAATAAAATGGTTGGGAGACGATCTGTCATAAATTCCCATGGAAGGTCATTTCGAGTGATATCAATTCTGTTAAGAAAAGACGCACTGATGAAGAGAACAGGCAGATGAACAATCTGTATTTTGCTGTAAAATGCCATTTTAGGGATTGGAAATTAATTACCAATATTCAAGATGATGAATCTCAGTTTAACAAATATCTGCAGAGGATTTTTTTTGCTAGAAAAATATGTACAGTATTCCAACTGCTCTCACTCAGCAATTAAATCGCACAGTCACTCATTATGTACACACCTTCCTTCTCTGAAACAAACAGACCTGCCTAACAGTTTCTACGCAAGACTGAAGTTTTTTCTACTCATTAATTTGTTCCTCAAGTACAACTCTATGAATCTTTTCCTCTCAAGTAGTTTTGGGAATAAATTACTTTGCTGCTTCCAAGGACAACCATATTCTTAAAGGTACAATTTTTTTCTAAAGCTCTACATAGAAAGCAACACAAGACTTTTGTGAATGAAACATTGTTCAATTCCTTGTTATATTTTTATCTGCATATTTAGGTTTTCCTTGATTACAAATAAAATTTTTGTAAATGACAACAATTTTATGATAGAAAAAAACCAAATGATCACAGCAGTAATACTGCAATAAAAATAATGGAGCAAATGACAGAACTTCAAAGTCAGGAAAGAGAATGGGGGTAGATTTGAGAGTAGCATTACATCTGTGGGAATAAAGCCGCAATTATAAAGAGGTGGTAAATCCAGATTTTTAATTGAATTTTTTTCCTATACATCTCATGCTGCCTCCTGGATTAAGTTCAGTCAGAATGAAACAAGGATGCAATCAGAGCAGATGTTATTAAGTACTGATGTATTATCAAATACATGAACAAGAATGGGTTGCACTGAAACATTAAAAATCCTGGAAATATTGAACAAAAACATGCCTTTTTATATAT